CCTGCACCAAACAAGGCAAAAGTTGACAATCTGACACGTGCCAAATTATGATTTATAGCTACAGTATGTTATGATATACTTCGAATGATTTCTTTCTCTTTTTTTGCCGGTGTTATTGTAGCTCAAAAGTGGTGATACAATTTACAACCAACAGTCTGCCGCGTTATAGCCCCACGGTCAGGTCAGCCTGTTTACTCCGAACTTGTGCTTATGACTTTGGGAGGGTTTTTTGAGCTTTATTGTGTCATCAATTCCCAAAATATGCTATGATGAAACTGGAAACTGCTCATCCTATGATACTTTTAATAAGCTCACGTCCACATCATTTGGGAATCCACTGTGAACATTTAATATTCACTTTATATTTACACCATTCTGTGCATTTGGAAATACCACACTCCCTTTCTCTCCCAACACCAAGAGGACAACCTGCACAAAAGAAAAAGAAATCTGCTCTTTTGTGTTCCTATATGGATATAATAGAAATTCATAGCATCAGTTTCCACAGAGGCTGAGCTTGAATACTTATTAATTCTTCTGTGATTTAGGGCAGTTCCCTGAGCCCATCTTCTACTTATCACTGGTTGATTTGAAAGGAGAAAAGAAATCAAAGAGCCCAACATTGGCTGTGTCTGTTAGTAAAATAGAATAAAATAATGGATTTCAATTTTAAAAGCGTGCAGACATCAAAATTGAAAACAGGCACAAAGCCCACAAAATTCTATCATATTTGGATATGGAAAGGTATAATGAGAAAAGCAACATTACAAAGTCTGAAAAAGTGAGATAACGACATGCAAATGCAAACCGACTTGTTTTAAGGCTCCTTTCATCAGGTGTCATTCTTCACCTTTCGAGACCTCCTGTCAAGATATATTTTGAATAATGCTGCTGCAAAGGAAACTGTAGCAGGAAGAATCGGCTGCACAGACTGAATAACCCTGGACTACCCCGCATTGTTTCTGCAGTATCTAAGTGTGATTTGATTGTCTTGAGGGAAAAAAAACTTAGAAACCTTTTGAAAAAAAAATGATGGCACTGAAAATGTGGATTCACGTTTTTATGATTTTTTTTTTCTTTTCAGTGGTTTCAGCAGATGAAAAACAAAACATTCCATCACCACCTGGCACCCACTGCATATTTCAACTGAGCAGAAAAATATTGCAATGCTGCGTTTGCTATAACCTGCAATGTATTATACAGCGATTGGTTCAGAACACATGACAAAATGTGTGAATCGAACTGAAAAGGATGTAGCGTTTAGAAAAAAACATACAGCTTTAGCAAGAAGAAGACATTTGCCTTAAAAGCAGCAAAAGACAGACATTACTTTTTGTTTCAGCTCTAATATTACAAACTAGAGATACTTGATTCTGCTGGGAAATAAGTTCTACTATCGCAGACATTTATTCCAATTGCAACACATTTAACTATGTAAATGAAAACATTTTGCAACCTTTATTTAGGTAACTATTATGTTTACATGTGATATACTGATGTCTATGGAGGCTGGATTATGCTACAGGGAAATCTGAGAAATGTTTACATTTGCATTTAAATTACACAATTAAGAATTTGTTCGACAAGCTTATCCAGATTATTAATGATATTAATGTGATGAATATCCTTATGCATCTTGAGCATGATTGACGTGATGTTTAGTTTGAGGTTTTTCGTTTGTGATCATCGGTTCTCGTCAAAATCAGGTAGTTCATGAAACAATAAAAATAAAAGGAGTTCGATTAAAAACAAAAACCAAAAAAAACCATAAAAAGTGGAGCTTATATGAAGACTGGCCAAGAAAACTGAAAATAAACCCTTTTATCCTTCCATTTTTAAAAACCACAAACTTTTATTCATCATTTAATGCCAGGATTGTTCAATACATTAATTAGTACATTAATGTATACAAATAATACATGAATTAAAAAACATTGAATGATCAAGTTAAACCTTCTGAACCCATAAATTTACATTTACAATATTTAAATACAAAATTAAGTAGTAAAATAATCAACTACTGAAGCTATAAGCATTTCGGGGGGCACAGTCCAGCTTCCACAGTGATTATGAGTTCACCGGTGTGAGCAAACACAAATGTAACGTAATATAGACACACAAAAAATATAGATTATTTCAGTTTAGCAAAATAAATATACACAGCTTGAAAAAAACTAATTGCGGGGGGGAGGGGGGGGGATTTGATTAAGACTGCTAGTCTTTGAAAAGAAAAAAAAATGTTTTAGCAGAGTTCTATCAGTGAATACATTTGCAGTAATAATTTCAGCCTTGTTTTCTTCAGCTGTTGGTATGAAATGTGACTGTAACTGTAAATCTTCATGAGGCTTGTTAAGCTGAACGCTTTTACTTCTGTTTTTAACTGAAAGCTAAAAAAAAAAATTATTTCCCTTCAACGTTGCCTTCCTGGTTACAAGATGTGACAGTGATGCCAAAGGCAACTTATCAATCACTGACAGAAATATGTAAACATCCAACACACATGAATCTGATGAGTGAAAGTGAACACACTTCAGAGAGGTTCAGGCTAATGAGGGTGCGGATTATCGTCTCAGGGTGAAATAATGATGTAAATAAGCTCTCCTAAGGTTGATTTTAACAATGCAGCTGCACCGGCACTGCAGCGAGGACAGTAACTCTGCCGTAGACATGAAAGGGGAGAGCCGTTACATTCTGTAGCCGCATATTGAGCTCAAGAGCAACAATTAAGGAGTTTATTAATTCATCAGTTATCCCAGGCTGCCCAGTGGATGCTGTTTATGCTTGCCAACTGTGACAGGAATCTGTTTATTATCAGCATGTTATCCAATTAAGGTTCTCAGATGCCCATTAAACTTTATTAACATCCATAAACCATGAATTGACTTCCATAAAATCTATTATATATAGACAGCTATAAATTTTGTTTGTAGACCACTCATTTGCAACAGTAAATACATTTTAGGAGAAATATTTTGCCATCTGAATTATGTGCAAATTCATTAACATCATATTTGTTTACCTGTAATAGTAAATCTTAGATTAGCGTTCTTTACACTTTCTACGATTATGTTGAGGCACTCTCAGCATTTGGTGAAGGTCAGGGAAAGACCACGTTGTGGGTTAGATCTTGAAAAAAGGCAACAGTGACTTGAAGCGTAATTTACTTTATTCACATTCGACCAAAACAGTGATCTTTTCCTAATCTTACACCTGCAATATCTGATTGTTTTTGGACACTCAGGGGCAACACAAAGTCAGCGTAAACAAAACCCTGATGTGCAGGATCATCTTTTGTGTTGATGAAGTTGTTCACTCAGAGTTGCATTTCTTATACATGACTTAAAACACATAAAGAGCAACTTTAGCATTCATTTAGAGTCTTGTTCGCTCTTGTTTTAGCTCTGTTTTTGGTCTCCACCTTCTCTGGGAAAGGCGCTACACGTTAACCAGCTAGTTGCTAACATTGTGCTGGTTGTTGTTGAGCAGCGTGTAAAGCTGACTTCTTGAGGGTAGCTGCGTAACTATGGGTTCATAAGCAACACCTTTCCAATGAAAGTAAGAATGTTTGTCTTAATCATAGCCAATTAAAAATGGCCTTTGTTGCTTTAACCTTATCCTATGTGGGATTTTGGATGTGAACCATGGGCTCACAAAAGAAGTAATCCTTGAAGATAACAGTGCGACTGAACATAATCCAGGCAAGAATTGTTTCCCTTAAAATGTAGCTGGCAAACAATATTGGTGAAGTATAGATGTCTTCAAGGAGAAAGGTAACGCTACAACTTAACAAAAAGACAATAGAAGTGTCAGCAGTGAGCCTAATGGATCAGAGATATGATGAAGTCCAATCATAGATGGATTATCACACAACAGGCTGGTAGGCACACAAAACCCCCCAACATCCCTACCGCCAACAATTGTGGTCATCGTACATCTTTTTATGGTCACTTTTCAAGTCATTTCATGTCTCCTTGTAGTGTTTTTGGTGCATTTGTGTCCCTTTGTGGTAATTTTAGATCTCTGTTGTCGTCATTATATGTCTCTTTGTAGTTGAGTTGCGTCTCTTTGTGGTCACTTTTTATCTTTTTGTAGTTGTTTCGTGTCTCTTTGTGGTCATTTTTTCATCTTTTTGTGTAATCTCTTAATAGTCTCTTCTATGGTGTTGAGGTCATTTCACATCTTTTTGTGGTCGTTTCTCTTTTTGAAGTCAGTTTGTGTCTCTGTGGTTGAGTTGGATCAGTTTGTGGCCAATATCCATTTATTTGTATTTGTTTTTTCCCTTTTTGTGGTCATTTTGAGCCTATTTTTTAAATGTATTTTCAGGGGCCCCTAGTGCCCAGTAGGCCCACTCAGCAATCCAGTCATACCTCTGATCACTAAACATCCTTTGTAGTAAACATTTACCTTTTGACCTCCAGTTCCTTGAAGAAGATTTAATAAACACTGTTTCGGTAAGTAGTGACCTACGCCACTACCGTCCCTCTCATTTGACCAACTCATCTTGGAACAATTAGCAAAGACATTCTCCAACGTGCGTGAATACTCTGGTGATGACAAATCACACAAGTAACATAGGCATACACAGTTTACACCCAAAAGGCAGATGTACTCGAATGCAACAGTTGTCATGAAAAAAAAAAATCAGAATGCTAAACATAGTCCAACAAGTCAAAGTTTGAAAAGTAGTTTTGGGATGTTTTAGTGTTCCTCTCTGAGGCTGCTTGAGTGACAGGAACATTCAGTAGCGATAGGGAACATTTTAAGCCTCTTTCATCTGGACGGGAACTCAGCTCTTCCAGAGAATGTGAACAATTTCCAAAGTCTCTTCTTTCCTTTCTCTGTTTTGATCCGTTTCCATCCATCATTCTTCACCCATTTGGCAAGATCCAACAGATGCAGCAGCAATGTTTTGATTATACTGTGACAACACATTATGAAGAAGTCAGTAAGCTTACAATCTCCTTTTTTTTTCTTTTTCTTTCTTTTTTTTTTTTTTTCTTTTACAGAGGGAACACAAGAAAGCCAGAAAATGTTGAGTACTGCCATCCACCAACTAAGTTTCCTTTCTCCAGCTTTAGGTAGACTTTGTCCTCTTTTTCAAGATAGAGCAGAACTCCATTAGTGGCAGCCTCGCGAGTTACATCTTTGTCACCCGCAAAGGCAGAGATGACTGGTTTCCCATTCAACATCAAGTTCACCTGGGTAATCCAACAGAAGCAACAGTTAGCAATAATGAAGGAAAAGTGAGTAATGTTTTCGCAGCGTTTACTTCAGGAGTACTTCTAGTGTATCAGAAGGAATTTCAGGTTGATCTACATCCATCCATTATCTATATACCACTTAATCCTCACTAGGGTCGCAGGGGGGCTGGAGCCTATCCCAGCTGACTTAGGGTGAAGGCAGGGGACACCCTGGACAGGTCACCAGTCTATCGCAGGGCCACACTTAGAGACAGACAAACAAGCACACTCACATCCACACCTACGGACAATTTAGAGTCATCAATTAACCTCAACATGTTTTTGGACCTTGTGGGAGGAAGCCGGAGAACCCGGAGAGAACCCATGCTGCACGGGGAGAACATGCAAACGCCACGCAGAAACATCCCAGTGCCCCCACCGGGACGCGAACAAGCAACCTTCTTGCTGCAAGGCTACAGTGCTACCAACTGCTCCACCCTGCAGCCCAGGTTGATCTACATCTTGCAAAAAAAAAAAGCGTTTATTTACATTCACATACAAGGTGCTGTTAGAAAGTTCTGAGTCCGTTTGCGAGTACACTTAACATCACGACATGTGGTACTCGCGCTTTTATGACTATTTCCAGGTGCGATTTTACCATGGACCTGCAGAAGTATCATTCCCCTGTTGAAATCTGTAAAAACCTCCATCAAATGACCCAATGTTGATGTTCAGGATCATCACAGGTGACAAGAGTTGGGTCCACGGCTACAACCCAAAGGCCAAGCAGCAGTCTTGGCAATGCAAGAGCATGTTTGTCATTTTCTACATTGATGGGAATGATCATCCCTCACAGTTAGACTGTCAACGTTGCATTCTGCTGTAATGTCTTGAACCGTCTGATAGAGCAGGTTTGATGACCAGAACTGTGGCATAATGGCACTTGGGTGCTCTAAAATGACAACACACCTACATTTGAGTGCAACATTCGAGTTTTTTGGCTGCACTAACGCAATCATCACTCCCCACCTGCCCTGCAGATTTGGCTCCCTGAGATTTCCTCCTCTTCCACAAAATGCAATTCTGGTTTAACAGTTAAATAGTCACCATTTTTACAGCGTGGAGGAGATTCAGTGTCTGACATGCTTAGAATACGGAGCACACTTAGTAGCATGGGTAACATCTGGAATATAAACCGTTGATGTGGAGGAGGAAATGCGCCAATAGTTTCATGTTAGATTTTTTTGTCTGTTTCAAGAGCTCCTCTGGGGACAGACACATTATTTAGTCACTGCAGCCAATTGCTGAGTGATGTTCAAATAGCCAATCAATGTCCTTCAATCTGGTGCGAGATGGCCATTTATTTCATTGCTCCAAGCATAATCATCAGCAGCCACGTATCGATGCTTGTCGTAAACTGAAGATGACGAATGCAAGGACCGGAGATTTCTAATTCAATTAAATCTTTCCCCAAAAGTCCATTCAAGAGGGGCAGGAACTTCTAGGTAAAAGATCTTGACTTGGATCAACCAGACAAAGTAATCTGACAGCAAACTAGCTTAAACTTTACATCCAAGCTTATAATTGGTACAACATAAAGGCTCACCGGATGCAGCCATGCAAACAGTGGGTACAAATACAACAGAGACTGTTGGGGGACAGAAAACATGTGTCTGAGAAAATTAAGAGAAGCAATGCAGCAGCTACTGTACATCAATCTGACTTCAGCCACTTGATATTCTTTTCATAGTGTGTGAACTTTCCTAGAAACATTTAGCTGGAACATCTAATTAAAAGATATTTGTGCAGATACTTGTATAATTGCGACTCATTCATTTTCAACAAGACATTTTAAATGCAAATGAAATTCTTATTAATTCCAATCATCGCCCAGATTAAAAAAGCTGATGTCTAACAGGTTTATTTCAAACCTGTCTCATTTGTTTTCATGTCACACCGTTATGGGATGTTTCAGCTTTGTGTTCAGTGTGTTTGGGTATATAAATGAGATTTTTTTTTGTCGATTATCACCATCAAATAATTAAATAAGGAAAGTGCATTTGTTTAATGTAATCCCACTGAGAATATTTTTCACAGCTGTTTTAACTTTCTCTTTTAGATTACTTTAAAAAAAAAAGGATCGACTTCAGTCAAAATCTTCAGGTTAAATATTAAAATTAGGTTAAACCTTTTTATATTATAAAAAAGAAATGGTTTTTTTTGTTGTTGTTAATGGTGAATCAAGTGGCACTACTGCTTTTATAATATTTTGACATATTGGGAAGAAGGACCAGATTATATATTCCAGTAATAATGCTGCAGAGCATTTTGAGTTTGAATTAAAATGTAAACCTTACATCCCTGCACTAATAATGTCTATGTTGTGTCTAAGGAAGAGATCTGGTCCCAGTCCAAAAACAGTTTTACAGCTGTACAGGTGTGTGTAAAGCAAACAGAAACAATACCTGTATGGTTTGGCTCTGGTACACTTTAATCACGTGGAAGTTAAAACTGTAGACTCCTTTTCTTGGGGACAAAAATACTGACTCAAACGTGAAGTAGTTTCCTATATTCACAAGAACCTGTGAGCAGAAAAAAGAAAGAGAGAAACACACATTGTGACAAAGGTGTTTATACAGTCAGCACTTTCAACAAAGGCTTTAATTTCACAGGGGCTTTACGATTAAATATTTAGATAGGAAATCAGCCATGCACACTTCACTGTTTTTGGCTACGAGGCTTCCCTTCTGGTCAGACACAGAGTGAGTGTGACACACTTCAAAAAACATTTAATTCAACCTTTCTTCTCAATGGACCCAAACCCTGCATCTAAATTTCCGACTCCCGGGGGGGAAAAAAACAAGTGATGCTTAAACTAGAGGCAAAATAAAATCCAATCAGCTGGTTTTTTTCTAAACAACTTCCACTTTGGGGGCAGCAGAATTTTTCTGCACACTGAGAAGACCGAAAAGAATCAGCTGCTTTCCACACATACAGAATAACCAAACGACTATTAGAGACTCGATAAATAAATAAGTTATCTTACTTTTTCTGCATGCTCAAAATTATCCAACCTGAAAATGTCAACCAGCATATGCAGTGTGGCACTCAGCAGTGTCTGGGGACTGTCACTGAAAGGCTTGGAGCACGCCACAGTCTAATTAGACATACAGTATTTAAGTAATAAGGAAAATGAACTTATTTGCATGATAACTGATGGAGGCAGCAAAGGCTTCTCTCCTTATCTGCAGAGTCTCTCACTCTTGAATTCCACCTGTTCCAGACCACTGCAGACTCAGCCAGGACCTTTGACTGCAAAACGTTGCTTTCATAGCAACAGCGTGCACATGATCCACACCAATCAGATAACTTGCAGAGAGTTCTGACAGCAACAAAAAAAGAGATACCGTTATGTAATTCAGATGAGAGGGCAGAGGATCAGTTGAGCGATACAAACACCTTACGCTGCCCACCGGTACATGACTAATCAAATTTCTTGTGTGTGTTTTTTTTTTTTTGCTTGATTTGTTTGGGTGTATTTATGTAGGCTAGGTGTGCGCGCGTGTACGAGCGCGCGTGCACGTGTGGTGGAGGGGGTAGCTTCAGGCAACAAAAAAAAAAAAAGATGATGTGCAGGCTCTGCAGGATGCCCGCCCTCAAAAAACACAATCCACTCACTTTCAAACCTGCTCGCGTGTGATATGTGAACAGTGTCCACATGCCAAATGCAACCAGCTTCAAACTACAACTCTGGGCTGCAGCTACACTCAAAACTGCACTAATGCTCTGTATCACAAGTATGAACTGAGATAAAGGATGAAGGTTTCTTGCAACAATATAAAAAAGACCAAAATATGGTTTGAAAAATACTCAGTAAAACACAGGAAAGATGAATTGCAAAGTGCAACCAAAGGCGCATCACTTTTTAAAACAAAATTTAATTTGTAATTTTTTTTACATTGGTGTTTTTTTGTTTTTGTTTTTTTGTTTTTTGTTTTTTTTAGAATGATCATCACCTGATCGAAGTAGATTATTCTTGTTTTGTTGCTCATCTCCGACGGCTCGTGGTTGTTGCTCCGGACTGCAGAGAAAGCCACCTTGGAGTTGGCGGCGCGCACCGAGATGCCGAGCGGAGAGGATGAAGCCTTCCAGTCCGTGGCCGGGTTCGAGTCGCACACCACGAGGCATTTGCCCTCCAGGACGATCGGTTCCGTGTCATTCTGAGCTCTGGCAACCTCAGAGATCACAGTCCAGCTGAGCATCAGTATGAGGGAGTTCACCATGGCTCTCTCTCTCTGTGACAGCTGTGGCAGCGCCGATTTCGGGGGGAGAAAAAAAAGAGAGACCGTCTCCTGCACCACACAAGTTTTCCGAGTCCCTCCGCTGGTCTCCCCCGCCGCAGACGCGTCTGACGCTGTGATATTCTCTTATTGGATCCAGAGATGTGCCATATCCGAGCGGAGCATCAACAAATAAGAATCCTTATTACGTCTAAATCTTCTTTTGCAAACAACCGGGAAACGCAGAAATCACCGATTGTTGCCTGTGCGTCTCATTTTCAGGTAGACTTTTATTTAAGACAAAAGTAGAGCATGCGGGATGTTTTATGGATGGCTGTTCCAGTTGGAGAAGAGAATCAGTCGATAAATCGTCCATAGCCTTCACTCCCACTCCAAATAACGCGTCTGACAACAGCTGTTCCCGCAGTGATGTGCTGCCTGTGTGCGCGCTCAGCCATCCACTTTACGCACGCACATGTGGCAGAAGTAATAATTAACTGCCCCGGCGTAATTTTCCCAAAAGCTTACATCGCCTAATTCTCTATAAAATAAGCACAATCCAAAGTAAATAACTGCCTTTGTTAATTATGAAAACTGCAAAGATGCACTGCAGCTATATATTGACAGTTTTGATCGTCCTTTACGGAGATTTATCCATGAAATATTTATCCCCAAACACATTTGATCATTTCCCACTTTTAAGTAACTCTGTAGCAGAAGCACACAACTGAATCTGCCCTCAAGCAAGAGTTTCACTTCCCCAGTATCTCCAGAGCTCCCTGTCCACTCTGACTCTAGGTTTCATTGTAATGTGGTGACTCATCATAATCTCATGGCACAGGTGGGCTGAAAGTCTTTCAGGTTTGACTTAAGGCGCTAGTGTTTCACACAAGTCAGTGATGGGACCTTTACTCTTTATATGCTTGTCTCGGTGACATCATCCTTGAATCCCAGCGCTGCCTTCACTTTTCCTGCAACCCCAACAAAACCTAAAGTGTCTGCAGCAAATCTGTGAAACTGGAAGGCAGAAAAGCTTTAGTTAAAACACCTTCACTTCATATTCAATAATGTAATGTCTCTAATAATCTGCAGGGATTTCGTTTGACATTTTAGGAGGGAAACACTGATTGCTCAGGAACATCTGATGTAAAACACGTGTCTGTCTTTGAATGCTGCATTAAATCAACAAGCTGCCCGATGTGTCCTGTGAGGATTTTGACAAGAGATTAGTGGCGTGAGCACGTCACCTCTGTCCTTGTGTCACTCAGCTGCCCATAAAAAAACAGATCAATTTTAACGTCCTTCCTCTGACTTACCAAGTGCTACATGGTTTGGCTCCCTCGCTTGCTGCAGCTTAAAATAAATCAAACATAGTTTAGTATTTTCTGAGGTGAGGGTTCAGTTGCAAGTTATGCTTTATGGTTTTTGATTAATTTAGCTACAGGGATACAGTGTTTTGTTCTAATGCAGAAAATGAAACACTTGAGATGATTACTGAAATATAGATAGATAGATAGATAGATAGATAGATAGATAGATAGATAGATAGATAGATAGATAGACAGATAGACAGATAGATAGATAGATAGATAGATAGATAGATAGATAGATAGATAGGTCTTTATTGATCCCACCGAGCCACCTTGCAGCCCTACATTGAATCATGGTCAATTGAATTAATGTTTGTGTCAAAGTGAAAACAGATTTCTGCAAAATAATGTCAATTAATTAAAAATCTAAAATGCAAAATAAGCAATTGCATAACCTTCAAGACAGTATTTAGCAGATGCAACTTTGGCCAACCACAAATTCTCAGTTGGATTAAGGTCTGGGCTTTGACTCGGTCACTCCAGATCATCAATCTTGTCCTCTTTAAACCACTTCTGTGTAGTTTGGACTGTAAGCTTGTTTACTGGAAAACAAATCTTCTCCCAAGTTGCAGTTCTCCTGCAGACAGCATTAAGTTGCTCTCCAGGATTTCCCTATATTTTGCTCCATTCATTTTATTCTCTACCTTAACAAGCCTTCCAGGGCCTGCTGCAAAAAAAAAAAAAAAGCACACCCACATCATGATGCTGCCGCTCCCATGCTTCACAGAAGAGATGGTGCGTGTGTAATGATGTGCAGTGTTTGTTGTCTGCCAAACACCAGACCAAAGAATATTTTTCTACTTGACTTCAGAGTCTCCCACATGCCTTCTGGCAAACTCTAGTTGAGATTAATAGAAGCCTTTTTCAACATTGTCTTTATCTTTGCTACTCTCCCATACAACTTTGGCTGGTGAAATAGAGGCACAAGTTGCTGTATGCACTATCTCTCCCATCTCAGTCGCTGAAGCTTGAAACTCCTTCAGAGGAGTCATAGGTTTCTTGGTGGCCTCACTCACCAATCTCTTTCTTGCACAGTCACTCAGTTTTTAAAGGCAGCCTGCTCTAGGTACATTTGCGCATGTACCATAGTCCTTCTATTTTTTAATGATGGATTTAACTGTACTCTAAGGAATATTCAGTGACTTAGAAATGTTCTTGTGTCCATCCCCTGACTTATGCGTTTCAATAACCTTTTCTCTGAGTTGCCTGGAGTGTTCTTTGGTTCTTATGATGTAGTTATAGGCAGGAGTACTGATTCACTGGGAACAGGACCTTTCAGATGCACAAGTCTCTACGATACAATCACTGCATTCAGATGATCTCCATTTCAATAATTGTGTGACTTCTAGAACTTGTGTTGAATGAAGTGAGTCACTTTAAAGTATGAATATTTACAGATAGATAGATAGATAGATAGATAGATAGATAGATAGATAGATAGATAGATAGATAGATAGATAGATAGATAGATAGATAGATAGATAGNTAGATAGATAGATAGATAGATAGATAGATAGATAGATAGATAGATAGATAGATAGATAGATAGATAGATAGATAGATAGATAGATAGATAGTGAGCACATGTAAAACTAAAATAGGCCTGAATTTTGAAATGCATACTTGGTGTTAGGGATTCATTTGCTTTCTCATTAGTCCATAATTATGAATGCAGCTTTTTGATCTTTGTGGCTGAACAACAACAGATCATAAGGTTACTCTTTGAAAGTGAAAAAATGGCATAATCAAGCAAACAGCCAACAACCAAATGGATCTGAGCACAAATCAGCCTGTGCCAACGCACACTGTGGTGAGAAGTGTTTCACATATAAATGTTTGCAGTTGAGTACAGCTTGTCATTAACTGATTTCAGGTGTTGTGTTCATGTGCATGAAAAAACAAGGATGTCAGTAAAATTATTACAGTTTTTTTTAGATATTCACTGTTATTTCCAATGTACTGGGGAAAAAGTCTAAGCTGATTAAATTTTCCACTGTTCATCATGACTTCAAAAGACAAAAGAAGCATCCTCACACTGTCATATTTACATCTTCTACAGTACTTTAATGTCTAACTACAGAGATATAACAGGAGGAAATGTTTGATATCTGTACTTAGTATTTTAGATCCGTGAATGCAGCTGAATCTGACTTCACTTGTCAGACATTGTGTTGTTCTAGGCATCAAACCATCCGTCCAGTGGAAGACAACCTGAGGATATCACCACTCTCAACCTGAAAAGCTGCCATTGTGCAAGACGCGTGTCATCACCCAGCTCTGACAAATGATTGTGTGCGTAATGTCGTGCATGTCAATATGTTGCCATGGTGATGGAGTTTGCAAAGCTGGGAGGCAGTGGCTTGTGATGCGCCAAGAAACACCGTCCATGGCAGTTTTCCACAGGGCAAGAAAGTTGTCCAATTTCTGTTTTAATTTGAAGGAGCGTGAAGACTGTCAGCTGACCAGAGCCCTTTTTTCTGAGAACAACTTTAATACAAAATGATTCTAGGAGCTTCAGGTCACATTAAATTTTGCAGAATAACGATGCCAAAATAAAATAAAATAATATATATATATCTTTAAAATACAAATTCAGTGAGATGATAAAAACAAAACTGAAAGAACTTTTTTCCTAAACTTTTCTTTGACAATTTATTGTGGCTGTTGCACTTACAAAACATCAACATAGAGACAGAGAATGTGCTGCGTATAAATAAAGTACTGTAATAAAGTACATTTTTGCATGGCAACATTGTAAATGCTGTATTTTACATTTGGTTAAAACTATTGTTAGTAATACAAATTTGAAAATACATTGTATGCTAGAGTAATATAACACTGCCAGAGGCCCTCAGTTGCCCGCTTTTTCATATTGTTACTAATGCATCTGTACTTAAAGGAATAGTTCTATATTTTAGGAAATGCCTATTGATATTGGCATTTAGCATAGTTTAGCTTAAGATGTGTGGAACTGCTCTCTGGCTCTATCTAAAGATTTTTAATTTTTTTAATGGATATCCTAAAGAAAGTTAGTTAAGGGCAAAAGATGAACTACTGCACTGTTCCTCTCGGTCCTATACTGTCTTGTTTAACAGCTCTTCCAAACTCCCAGCATTTTGTTCCATGCAGCCTTTTCTTAGCAACATACTCTTTACCTTGTTTACTGACAAAATAATGAGTTCACACAGTCCATGTTATGTTGTCTCGTAACTGTCGGCAAACTGTACCTCTTTTGTAAAGCTGTTTACACTCAGACAATGAAGGAGTAAAATCTATGGTGACACACGGCCATCCAGCTATGATAGCGTCCTTCATTGTAGGCTCTCTGGATCTCTGTTTCCGCAGAGGCCAACGCTGTCAAGACCACTTGAGAGTTGCAAAGTGGAAGGAGTGATTGTGGAAACCGCTGGTTCTATTCATTTTTCTCACGGTGCACGACTCACAGTTGGAGCTCTTCAACGGCTTGGATTGATTGGTATGGAAAGTCTCTTGGTTTAATGATCATTAGAAAGCATCTGGTTCCGTGTACAAAGGTACAAGGTTGTGTACATAAAGAAATTAAGCTCGACATTTGGTGCCACTCCCAAAGTAATAAACCTCCAACCACTGTGCTTAAAATCCTGCGACCTGATG